CCATGTGTCACTAAGCCTTGATGAACTGATATATGCGAAGAAAAGTTGGGTTTCGAGAAATCTCTTGTTTCATAATTGTTGAGCTTACTTTCATTTCGAGTGAAAGTGTTCCGTGAAGAGATTCGAAGGTCGATTCCACCAGAAGATGACGGCTGATTCATCATATGCGAAGAAAAGTTGGGCTTCGAGGAATCTCTTGTTTCATAATTGTTGAGCTCACTTCCATTTCGAGTGAAAAGGTTGGATGAAGAGATTTGAAGGTCAACTCCACCAGAAGACGACGGCGGATTCCTCTTGACCAGCTGTCGATTGGCTTTACTGAAACATTCATGCTGAGGCTGTTTCCGAGGCATTTTGGCTGTCCTAATTACTTTGAGCCATCACTTCGGGTTTCGTGCATGAGCGAACACAAACAGGCACATTCACATACATAGACAGACACACTCACATGCATTGAAGTTGACATATGACCTTAACTAACAAAATAACTTTATACTTGATCAAAGATGCCAGATATAGAGTATAGATCCCACTTTTTTGTAATTTGCTGGTGATTTTTCTTGACTCATCAGCTTTAATTTGATTGTGACGATTAAACCTGGCTCTGATACTTTTCTTCATGGGACGGACAAAAGCTTAGCACCTTTTCACCGGAATCGAAGGAGATTTCCTCGGAAACAGCGTCAGCGTGAAAGTTCCACTAAAGCCAATCGACAGCTGGTCCTTTGGTGAAACGGGCCTTCGAATCTCTTTATCCAATACTTACACTCGAAATGGAAGTAAGTTTAACAATTGACGTCCTAAGCCTGACGTAAAGCTAGTTTATTCATTCTGATTTAGCACCGGTTTTGCGCGTAGACCTTAATGCCAACGAATACGATCAAGTAAAATTATTATGATCAATTTTGACTGGAATTATGCTAATCATTTTCAATCTATTTATATTTTTACTTTTTTCGTTTAGTTGTGAGTATAAATATAAGATGGTCTTCTGCACTTAGTCTTCGTAAACTCGAAACCTTCACAAGAATGAGTTCCAGCTCTGATAACGTCCATCAAATGATAGAAGAAGGCTCAATCCGTTTTCACTCGAAACGAGGGAGGATGTCTCGTGGACTGCGCCAACCTGAACTTCGTATCAGAGCCAAACGGTTGTAGAACGCCGAGAATCGGCTGTCGTCTTCTATTGAGACCGAGCTATGAATCTCTGCATAACCCATTTTCATTCAAAATGAAAGTCTCCCCAACAATGTTATTTAAATAAATTCAATGAAGCGGTTTTTTATTTAAACTTTGGCGCCTAAAATGAATTAGGCACTGATGATGAAGATTTGCCCAGGACTTGATATGTAGGCCTCATTATGACATACAATTTCACATATCCTTGATTCTCACAAGGCATGAAGCAAAACTGTGTAATAAAGATTTACTTAATTAAATATTGTGGCATGACTCTCCGTTTCTAAGGGCAATTTGGTTGGAAAGAATTCGTGATGTGGTCTAACCTGGAACCGAAGCTGGATTGTCGCGTAAGGAAGATTGTTGAATCGTGAGAAGAAGTTCTCGACTCATTGTTTCATTTCCAGTTCATGAAGTTAACTTCACTCATTTGCAAGCATGTAGTGGCCAACCAGATCATGAGATGCTTTATTAAGATCACAAAGTTAGGTGTGTAAAAAAGCGACTGGGGTTGCAGCCGGCTCTATTTCGTAAAGTATGCAATCTTGCTCTGATCATGTCTGTCACGGTGGTACAGACGAAAGCTTAGCACAGCTTCATCATGGTCGCAAGACGGTGGGCCGAGAACTTCTCCGCACGATTCAACAGTCTTCCCTACGCGGCAATCCTCCTTCGGTTTCCGGTGAGACCACTTCACGAATGCCTTCTAACCAACTTTTTCTTCGAAACGGAGAGTCAAGCCGCAATCTTACAAGGTATTCCACTTGTGTGACTGAGTTTTTATTACATTTGAACTAATATTATTTCCTGATATTGTTTTTCTTGATTGTGGTGAATTTATTTATTTATCTATTTATATATATAAATGTGTGCGTATTTAGGTATATGTATATTTCACATTTATATTGATAAATAAATAAATAAATTAATTAATTAATTAAAAATCAAGTGCTTTCCTATCTACAACGCTCTGCCAAACTATCTTTGCCAACATCTACTTCAAGCATAGTTAACTCGTTTTCTGAGTTTTTATAAGTTCTCATCCGCGCACAAGGTGCTCCCAAACTAATAAAGAATTTTACGAAAAGAACTAATTCAATGTAAGTCAACTTGTCAGTTCGAGCGAAACGCTGGTTGGATGGAATTTGTCAATTGGTCTCATCATAACTCGAAAGAGGCTTGATGGCTGTAAAAAGAAGATTGTTCGATTTTTGAAGAAGTTCTTGTCCCACCTTTATGCGACTCTGAGAAATCCGAGCTAAGCTTGCATCCACAATGCCGGATACATCGTTAGAGCGAGAAAGCATATGCTACAAATTAGCGCGCGAGTATACCAAACCAGGAAAACAGATGTCTGAATGAATGAAGATATTAACTTTTCAGGGAAAGTAATGAGATGCTGTGGGAGTCGTTTCCCAAGACAAATAAATCTTGAGGCATGTTAAGTTTGATGCCATGTTCGGGCATCATTTTCGCCTTCATCTGCTTTTCCGGTTCACTCTGCCTCTCTCTCTCTCCGTAAGTCTATGCAGCAGTCATAATCAGTTTGTACTCTATTTTATGCATTTGTTTCTCGTATTCTGGATTATGGTTGATTTGTTTGTTTTATAAGCTCTCTTTGAGCGTAGGTTTTGAGGTAAAGTCCCGGTAACTTGCAAAATGTTGCAAAATTTTGGAACCCTTAGACCTTAACAGACTGTTTTGTGTTCTGCTAAACAAAATAAGGTGTATTCAGCATATTACACTTAAGATGATGACGGATTGGTAGTTCAATTTTCCCACAATTTTATGAGTAGACTTTGATGTTCCATTTACTTTCACACTTAGCCTTGCTTCCCAAAAGGCTGAAATGAACTTTGGATTGGACTCTAACCAAGATTGTGGTAATAAAGTGTAAAATCTTGATGCATTAACAACTGCATCACAATTTTGCGAGCTCTCCTGGATCTCAAAGCAAATGCCAATTTCAAGGAAGGCCAGACATTTTTCCATATCACATTCGGTGGATATGTCTCATATAAATGGTCTAATTGTAGTCACAAGAGACTACTTATAACCGAAAAATAAGTATTGTTTTCGATTCTTATAGCAATTACAACTTTGTTTATCGACAATCCAATCAGATCTGGAAAAAGCCTGGCATTCCTCGAAATTCATATTTTCAATGTGGCTCAGTTGCACTTGTGCCAAGCATGTGGTGTAGTGGTTAATGTATCGGGATTGTACACTGTACCACAAGCCGGGTTCGAGTCCCTCACTGGGCTGATGAGATCAGCTCGGATGACGTCGAAACTGCAGTCAACTCCTGCCTGAGTGAGAAGCATGGAAATAGGAAATTCGATGCAAATGTAAGGCCAAAAAAATAAGATTATAGCCAATTTCCATTACCAGTCCTTCATCAACTAAAACGAAATTGGGTGAATACATCTCATATTTTATCTACTTTTAGTCTCAACAACCTATTTGCAAACTAATAATATTCTGCTGTTTCTCTATAAATTGGTCGGCAAGACTTCACTACAATATCATTACGATAATATCAAAAAACATTGTGGCATCCTCAACTAGAAAAAAGGTCTAAAAATTCTGGAAACGAAGGCACAACTGAAGAAATTGTTAGTTTCTTTGTATAAATCGTATTTACGTTTCACTTCCTTACTAGATCACCTACCTTTTTCATTAGTCGACAGGATTGCATGATTAGGAACCGAGTAAACTAGTTTAGCAAAGGGCTTAAACTTTACCCTGCGGGCATGGCAACAGTCTTAACGATAGAGGTTGTTTGACCTTGTCTTGGTAATGTTGGTAGGAAGACGTAGAGGAACGCACCTTGTTCGGAGTCCATTGTCTGCATGATCATTTCCAAAGTCGGACCGTGGACGTGGTACATTCCCAGACGTTTCGCCGGCATCGTAGTCGGCATCGTCAGTGGTAGTCTTGCCAGTCTTAGCGACACACGACAACTCGTCAAAGAGACAAGATTTAAGACCAAAAACACAAAATAGGCTCATCAACAAAACCATACGTCTGTCCAACCTTGCGCAATCAGAATGATGGTTATAACATGTATGTATTTATGTATGTATGGCCAAAAACAAATGTTCCTTTTTGCTGTCCGGGCATTAGCGGACAGAAACAGGCACATACAAATACAGAGACAGACACACCCACATGCATCGAATGTCAAGGTTCACTGACTCGCTAGCTTGAATTGTCTTGTGACGGACGAAAGCTTAGCACGTTTTTTACCGGAATCAAAGGAAATTGCCTCGGAAACAGC